TCAATTTACGATATCCGGAAACAGATATGCCCTATAACTCCAGTGGCATATATGGCCACACGTATTGCTGGGAGAAGGATGTTAGGTTTCTGTTGCATAAAGGCGCCGATGCGTTTGGGGTCGACGGGTCTGGTGAATACCTATTCGTGAAGGTAGCAACGGAAGGCAAGCTTGACATAGTGAAAGGCGTGCTAGGGCACTTTGATGAGGAAGGGATTCCCTTTGCTCGGGTCAAATCTATGGTTGAGAAGGCTGCGAGGGCCGCAGGCAGCGCTGCGGAGACTGCGATGGCTTTAGCGTATGAAGTCAATCCTGAAGATCGTTTCCGTGGATATGATGCGTTTTGGGAGGCCAGGGACATTGCCAAAGTGGAGGAGTACATCTGGCGCTGGTACTGGCGCAATATGTACCCTTGTCCGGAGATCTAACCATATCCTTTTATTTTCGTCAAACTACAATATTCCGCCGCGAATATGCCGAAAAGTCCAGACTTCGCCCCAACTGTCTCAATTTTCGCATGGCTGACGCCGATACTACCTATGAACATCAAGTTCTGTCTTTACCACTGGAAGCGACCTCCACCACAATCGGTTCGCCATCCTCCGTTCCACTTTCTGTTTCGGGACCACTATATAGTACGTCTTTTACTTTTTGCTCTCTGTATCTTGCGTTAGAAAATATAATGGAAAGCTGGGTATACTTAACTTACCTTCTGTATATCAAGATTGCTGCAATGAACCCCGCCCACAGTAAAAAGAAAAAAGCGAATGCGGCGGGCCACCCCTTTCGCCACCGCGGAGCACCGTCCGGACCAGCAGTGGGAAAAAGAAGCAATGGAACCCATATTTGAAAGGAATAGCCGAAAGTCATCATCGAGCCCTGCCAATAGTTAGTGTTCTGTTCTGTCTGCTATCCAGATAGTCTATTGAGGTACCATGATAAGCGCCCGTTCTTCAGAATCATCCTTTACAATTGTATTAACAGTCGAATATAGAATAGGACTTGTGCACCCGGCCGCGCCAAAGAGGTACCATGCGACAAACCTATGATCCTGTCAGCAGGACAATATACGCATGTGAGATGTACACTTACTTCAAGGCCTTTGGTATGTTCCAAATAATCATACACAGCGAAGAGAATAAACAGCATGTGGACGCAATAGTGTAAATAAGCCATGATGGATAAATTGCAGCAAGCGTGGTCCCTAACCACGAAGCAACGATATTGATCGCGTAGGTCACTGTCGGCAGCTTGTTGACCTGTGGCACTGAGTAGCCTTCTGCCTCTAGCCAGAGGTTCATATAAGAGGTAGGATAAGAAGATATAATCATGCACCTAAGACACAACAGATTAGCTTTTGCCCAAGTTGAAAATCAAGCCTGTCTTACGCATAACAGAGTATGAAGACCCAGATATGCCAGCGCTTAAGTGTGCGTTTGAAGACATCAAGTGTCATCCTTCCCGGACGACGGATGTTTGCTCTTCGCGCCCGGTCCTTGGCCAAGGCGATATCATCTTCTGACAGGAAGAAGGGTCGTGGAGAATCCGGAATCCCCGGGAACACTAGAAAGCCAATAATGGCGACGGGAATAGTGAAAATTCCGTCTATAATAAACAGCCACTTCCATCCAGGCATGCCGCCCACTCCGGATAGGTTGGTGTAGGCTGCGGATTGCAGGTATCCGCTTACCATAGTTCCAAGCGCGTTGCAAATAAACCACGTTCCAGCTCGTTTGAAGAGTTCGGGGCCAGAGTACCAGGAGCCTCCAGTATCAGTTAGCCTAATAGAATGATAGCTGAAGTGCTGACAACCTTACCAAGAATAAAGTGTGTTCCAGCAAAGACAGGCGCCTCAAACATGCCAACTAGAAATCGAAGTGCATATAGCTGGCTGACATTTGTGACTCGACTTTGTGCAAAGGTGCATACACCCCAGAGAATTTCAAGGGAAGGGAGCAGCCATCTCGCCCTAATCCTTTTAGTTATATATTTCTCCCGAATCACGGACAGTAACATACAGCGTCGGTCGCGACATCAACAGCAGACCAGGGACTTGGAATACAACGTAGGCAGTGTAATAGCAGACGTTGAAATAGTTAAGTTGGTTGCCATTTAGGCTGAAGTCTTCCTTTAGGCCACTGACATACGCGTTGCTGATGTTGGTCTGGTCTGGAATATATTAGCACCGGTGGAGGTTGCAGTCTCCCGACAGGCATACCCAAGTACTTCACGAAAACTAATTACAGTCAATAAAGACTCTGTGTTTATCCACGGGGGCAGCTTACAGCATAGACATGCGAATACCAGGATGGATAAATCCAGCTTGAAGAGCAACCTAGATGATCAGTATCCTATGGCCAAACCAAGAGGGACAACGTACTTTCGCTCATTTGTCGGATAATTAGATGGGTACCAATTGAACACCTCTTTGAAAAGACCCCAAACACCTATTTTCTGTCTCTTTAAGTCGCTGCCGGACATATTGCCGAGCCCTTGTCTCCTCGTGTCGGACAATTCTCCGGTGAAAACTTCCTCTGACAGGGGCATGTTCCATGATTCGGCAAGATCTTTATCTGATCATCGAATACCCCTCTTCATGATAGAATTATAGAGTGGGGCTGTGTTGACATATTTGCCATTATGCCATTCATTGTCGTGATGGGAAAGCACCACAATCTGATAGGGTTATTCGGACCTGTTAGCTGCAGAATGCAACATCCGGGTGCGGGATGGCGTGCCACAATCCTAGCAGAAATGCCCTTATCTATCTTTGACATGATTCAGACACGGTACACCGTGCGTTCTGAATTGGATGTGCGACGCTAGATAAGAATTGCGTGCTTTGCTGATTATCTTCGTCACATATGCCGTGCGGGGTTAAAGTATACGCTGCATTGGGATTTGGACATAACTACTCGGACCTTCCCAGCTCGATAGGGTGTGTATAATAGTTTCGTAAACGGTGTTACAACATTCTTCATCACCATGCCTGCAAGACTTATCGACAGATATGACCATGTCCCAGTGACTAAGGAAGACCGTAAGTAATACCTTTGGCTTACCATGTGGCTCAAATAATTAACGAACCAGTCGACTGGGCCGAACTCATCACCCTCGACCTGAGCCAATATGATCAGCCGGGCGGCAAGGAATCGCTCGTTGAGCAGCTAGACCACGCTGTTCGTCATGTTGGTAAGTAGTCTGCATCACGTCTTTAACCTGATCTAACTTCGCTTGAAGGCTTCTTTTACGTGAAGAACTTCAACATCAGCCAAGAGGAAATCGACCGCCAGTTCGCTCTGGGTCGCGAGTTCTACGCTCTTCCACTTGAAGAGAAGCTCAAGTACCACAGCAGCGCCGATCTGGATAGAGGAGAATACAACGGCTACCGGCCAGCTGGGCACCGAATGTAGGTCGTCAACATCTGTAACCATGCTATCATGCTCATACATCCAGTCTTGGCAACGGAATCAAGGACAACGTCCAAGTCTACAACATCCCCAAATTCGATGGGTATCATCAGCGCCAGCAACCAGCAATCCTGGCCGACAATATTGACGAAATCGAGCAGTTCAGCCGGGTAAGTGTCCTCTAATTTCTATTTACACCCAATTCACACTAACTAATAATACAGAAATGCCACACGGAAGTAGTCGAGAAGCTTCTCCGCCTCTTCGCCATTCTGCTCGAACTACCCGAGGAAGACCAACTCGTCCGAGACCACCAGTACGACGTAAAGGGCGAGGACCACCTCCGCTACATGCACTACGCCGCACGTGGAGCCGAGCTCAACAAGAAGGTCGGAGGTCTATACTCCCCCGGTCATACCGATCTGGGCACGGTGACTCTGCTCTTCCGCCAACCCGTTGCCGCGCTGCAGATCCTCAACTCGGAAGGACAGTGGAAATGGGTCCGGCCGCAGGATGGAACCATTACTATCAATACCTGTGATGCGTTGACTGCGCTCACGGGCGGGTTGATCAAATCGAGCATTCATCGGGTTCATGTTCCTCCTGCTGATCAGGCGCATGTGGATCGGTTGGGTGTTTTGTATTTTGCCAGGTAAGACTGCCCCTTTGCCTTTCAGTGTTAATTATAATGCTAACTATATTTACAAGGCCGAACAACCATGTTGTCTTGGATCCGATCAAGAACAGTCCCCTGCTTAACCGGCTCGGGCTCACGAAGAATGTGTTTACGGAGTTGGGACAGCATTTGACTACTGAGCAGTGGGTCAAGGCGCGGCAAACTCAGCAGCAGAGACGCACGCGGGAGGCGAAGGTCTCCGAGGATGGGAAGTACAGTTACGGGGACAAGGATCTGCAGATCCTCCCAGGGTTGGATGCCAAAGTGTATAACTGAGAGAAAAGAGAGCATAACTATATCATACACAAGCTTCGACCGTTTGTCACAAAGAAACATATTTATGGAGTCACGGCCTCTGGTAATACCGATGCCACTAGAGGGCAGGATTCTCCATCATCTCGGTATAATTGTTGGCATTAATAGCTCAGCTACGAAAATAAATCGATGATACTTGCCTCCGCGTCAAGGGTAACTTATCCAATGTCTTGGAGGCCTTTGAATCATATAGGAGGTGTATCCCATAGGCGTTTTTAAATTAATACGGAATATTCCAAAAATCGTATATGAAAGTATTATCATTCTTATCATATCATGACCCATGATATTAGCTCTTTTCTTATATTTCACGCCACCGATTAATCTGTTCGAAGTCTATAGGCTGCAGGACCTAAATCATTATTCTCCACTAATTACCCTGATGTTCCCGCACAACTCTAGTAGCAGTCATTGGTTCGCCGTACAGCCCGCCATGACTGACCATGAATTCCACTGTCTATAGGTGCGGATAGCACATTATGGTATGTAACCAAAGGGTTATAATATGTTCTTGTGTCTATAACGGTGCCAATGAAAGAAAGAGCATAGTGCTCGGCAGGCCTCACTCCACGGTGATAAAAAGGGGCGTCATGAAGGGCTTAGAGTCGTCCACCACTCGCTTCACTCAGTATGGTTTTCCATTCAATATCGTGTAAGTCGTCAGCATGAATAGATACTTTGACATCGAGGGCCTTTCGAAGCTGCTCCTTGGTAGAAGCATACAGCATACGGATCTATGATCATGTCAGTGGGAACACTTAAAAAAGTCGAAGATACAAGAGCACGATGACCTACACGAGTAGACGTCACACCTGGCATCCAGCTAATAAAAACAATTGTCGCTCTGATGAGAATTAGCATATCAAAGACGCATTGCTTTGCCTGGTTCTGGGGATCCTTCAATTACCTCCTGCTGTCTTCATTCAAGTCATATTCCACGTCATAAATGGCATACCGAGGTGCAGGTTTGCCGTCGTTATCATGCGCAGACGTAAGCCTTTGTAGGAATGCTTCGTAGTTCTTTTCTGGGGAGCTTTCTTCCACCATAATAGAGTGTTCGTCGTCGGATATCTTATAGATAACGAAGGTAGGTTTACCTGCTCCCCTTATGTATAAAAGCTCTTTATAAGCATCGATGCACTCAGTAGTGATGCTGACACTATTGGTAGTAATCAATATTATGACCAGGTCAAATTACGGCGACAAGGAAATCGGCAGCTTACCCGGACGGAAGCTAAAGTTGTAATGGGATGATGGTCAGTGGCCGGTTGTCCTGTGCCAGCGATGAGTGAATATAACTGACCGACATGTTAGTTCTCTATATTCAGGAGACAATTATTGAAGATGAAATTGTTTATTGAATGACGATGGATTACTAGGGTCACTTGTTTCTGTCTCATGGCACAATCATGATGGTATTCTACCTATTTTAGTTATATATATTTACTCGTCGGGCCTTCGGAGCTGCGGACTAGAATGTCCGAAATAAACTTCACTTAGATTGAGCAAAACCACTTTGCCCAGCATCTGTGGAGTTTTAAAATGGAGAAACCGAAACAAGCTACCATAGGATGCAACGCATAGCAGGATCAAATTTTGGGCTGTGCTAAGATTGGCACCCTTCAGGATGCCAAGAGTGGCAACATTCCGCTACCTCGGAGCTGCGGACCCGCGGGCCCGCGGATCCGAAGGGTCAGAACCTGCAACTCTCTTCGTTCAACACGAAGTACTTGTCAACATCTCCATCACTGCAGAATCTACAATGTCATCACAGGGCGCTCGAGAAACCATACAGGAGAGACGGCATCGGCTCTCGTTAGTTCCACGGGCCGTAAGCCCCCCAGTTCCGTCTCTTCGCTCGCACTCTAACATGACGTAGTGCGAAGGGTGTAAAGTACGCAAAGTATGTGCCGTACTGTTTGACCCATAGTAAGATGATGGGAGCTAAGATCATATTCCTGAAGATTCGCTGCGACTGCAAAATACCGTGTTCAAACTGCCAAGCATCCAAGATAACATGTCGACATCCAAACGACAGGTCAAGGAATCAGCTCCAGGCAGATAGAATAGCGCATCTGTAAGCATATAATGTGGTTGGTCTCCAAATTCAGACTGAACTTACTTCCCATAGGAGGGTCTCGTAGACAGCCTCGAAAAACGTTTTCGTGAAGTCGAGTCTAGACTCTCTGCATTGCAAAGTCCAGAACTCAGCTCGGGGGTCCAAAGTGTGTCCAATGAAAATATCATATCTGCAGATCCTGGCCGTGTGGAAGGCTGTCAAGCCTTCGAAGGAGATACTTCCTTCGCTAGTCAGTCACTTCATGTAAGTAATAGTGCTCATATTACGGCTCTCTCTGCTTCTACAGGCAACAACATCCCTGATATTGAGCACTCCATTGATCATATACGGAAAAATCTCTACCATTCACAAGAGTTATCCAGGAAAGGATTTTACTTGAGCAAATCATCACAGCATGCGATACAAGTAGAACCTCTTCCAGCTACGTTGGTCACCAGCCTTTTGCGGAGAATGAGAGGTACGTCACATTCTTTCAATACGGGTCATAGTTCGCGGTTGCGAAGCTTCTTTGTCTGCAGACTTACGTGAATCCAGCCCGCCATCCTATCTTTCTGTCTTCGTATGCAATAAGTGACCTTCAAGTGGTTGAGGATCTCTGCCGAAGCGTCCTTTCTGGACCGAGCCGGGCATCTGTCGGCCAGGTGGCCAGCATGCATGGTGTCCTATTCTTTGTCCTCAAGGAGCTTATAGCAATGAATGATGAGCTCTATCAGAGATTTGACCTTACCACCCACCTTGATCATTGTGAGAAGGTCTTCGCAGCGACACTAGAAACATATGACGTACTCGCTGTCCCCAGCTTCGAAAGTATGCTTGCTTTAACAATGGGTGTAAGTATACCCTTGCTGTCTACCCCTACTCGGACTGGCTTAGCACACACTGAATTAGCAGCTTGAAGTAACAGTAACGCAGATGTCAAAGCCCAGGGCGAAGCAAAGCCCGCATTATACTGGACCTTGATTTCTGCCGCTTCAATGCATTGTCAATCACTTGGATATCACCGTGAGACGACCTATAGGAACATTCTATCTGGAAAGGCGGATAACATAAGAAGACTCTTCTGGACGATATACGTCTTCGATAAGAACATGGCTCTCTTGTTAGGCCGTGTCTCCAATATGCAGGGTGTCAAGATTGACGTACGGCATCCTGCGATATCAATAGATCCGAGTCGCCGAGCATGGGATGAATCTTTCATTATGGGAATCAGGATGGCGGAATTTCAGGACAGAGTATTCACTGATCTCTACAATCCTGCAACGTCAATTAAGGATCCATCTGAGCGGACACAGTTTATTCAAGATCTTGCACCTGATATGGAACAATGGCATTCCCAACTTAAGCAGGTGAGATGGGACCATTAACGCCTTTTCAACCCCAGAGTGGCTACTAATATTTCCAGATCGATCCGGAAGGGGCCAACAACCTCCAAGTCTTCAACATGTCCAGAACAAACTGGGATATATCCTTCAACTCCACCCTGACGCTGCTTCTCCATGCATCCTCAACGACAGGAGAGGAACTACAAATAAGCTCTCGTTGCTTCAACGCCGCCCATAATAGCTTATTGGCCCATCTCAATTCATTCCCTCAATACCAAAGCTCAAAGCTTCTTTCAGACGGTGAATACTTCAATTGGTCCGTTCTTCCCCCCTCACATCTTTTTCTATATATTCCATTGACCGAGTACCACCAGGATTCTATTATTCTCATCTCTAACCCCATTCCTCGTGATATTCCTCCACGCCATTTCTGCAAAAGACACTCAGAGCATCGAACTCCTTGCACAAGTAGTTCGCAGCTTCGAGACGTTCCGAAAAGTCTCCCTAGGCGCGGAACGCCTATATCAGATATGCGCTACTCTTACCAACATTGCCGAGAAACTTCTTCAATCACAGCAACTGTCGGTAGGGATATACAATGAACAAGAGGACTCTCTCAGATTGCCAGATACACCTGGTGACACATCGATGTTCCACGCGGAAGATTTGCAGAATGTGCTTGACATGGACAATGGGGATGAAGCCACCTCGTTGTATGCTACTGACCTTTTAAATGAGTTTCTAAGTGGTGAGCCGTTTTTGTGGAATAGGTTCGATTTTGAAGTCGGGAATGGTCCGTGACGAAAAGCGAGAAGTTCCGCTTCGGGGAGTTGAAATTGACCTAAAGCGCATGCAAATGAGACAGAACTGCTGGTAATTGTACATCGAGGTCACCAAATTTATCTAAATCAAGCATCGAAACTCCTACCACTACCAACTAGCGTCTGCCACATACCATCTCCTTCCAAGGACTCCATATCATCACACCGCAGCATAACCATCACTTCGAGTATTTCATCAGATCCCGTCCTCCGACGGGGTAGAATAATAGCCACACCATCCGCCTCAATGTAAGGTAGTCTAACAAACTCTGGCCTCCCAAGCAAAGGCCCAAAATCCAAATTATATAGATCCAAATCTGCCCAACTTGTAATAGTAAAATCACGAGACCCGAACAAGTCCCAAGCCGCATGAAGAGACCTATAATCTTCCATGGAATCCACAAGCCGGTAGGTTTCAGCAATATGGCGCGAGTTGATCGTTGAGGATGACTGCGAATCTGAGATACAGTCGCATATCTTGGCCAATGAGCGTGTTGGGTCCTCATCGGCCGTGGCGAGATTAGCAGATGGGAAGCTTGCCATGGCGTAGAGCACAACGTTTCCCAAGTACTGTTGATCCCCAGGCACAAAGGTTAAGTTCCCCGTAATACGCGATCGGCCGTTAACAGCAGTCACTAAGCGACTTTTTTGACCTTTGAAAGCGGGGTTGCGTTGAGTTCGCACACGAGTCACTGATGTCCATATAAGCGCGCAGAGGATAACGTTGGTGGTCAATCGACGTTGTGTATATTTCTGGAGGAGTTCTTTGAGCACGTTGATCCAGCGAATTGGGATCTTGAATGCTTTGGACGTGCATGGCGAAAACGTTTTGGTAGGACGGGTGGTTGTGTAGAGTGTTCTGGGTGCAGTGCAAGGAGACCTTTCGATGAAAGCGATGAAACTTTCTGCAGATCAGGCGCTAGAGCTTTGGAAAGCCGCACGAGCCTATCGCCACTTCCTTGTGACAAGTAAGAGGAATCGTTTTGACTTGGTTGGACAACATTTCTAGCCCATAGTCGAATAACTTCAGCGAACCCAGTTACATCGACAGCATTGTGTTGCAAGCAGATGCATAATCCGGCCCCATGATCTGCGAAGCGGAAGAAGCTGGCAGCGAAAACGCGGTCCCCTGTCTCGGAAGGGATGTTACCGAGCAGGCATGGGAGTTTTGGCCACACGTCAGGTGGGATGGCTTCCATGGGCATATCTTGTGAAGAGAGATTGGCGTATGAGGCCGTTATCTGGCCTTTATCCTCTAGGGTCGGTGTCTTGGCTGCATGATATCGGATTTCAAGAGACGCTTTCTGGTTGGTTGGAGTAGTATGAAAGACATGTCCGGTGACCCAGGGTACTTGTTTAGAAAGCCTCTCGAGGCCGTGTTGTAGCTCCTGCGTGATTTGGGGGCTGGAATTCGCCGTTGGGAAAACGAGAAGAACCCGAATGTAGGTCCTGGGCATAGGCAGGTCCAGCGGCGTCAAGTGCTCCACGTAAGCGTGATCAGCCATTATTGCCCTGAAGTATGGCAATTGGTAGTAATATCGGAACGATGACGGGAAAGTAATAGAGGTTTTATCACGCATAATAAGCCATTATGAGACCGTCTCAGTCTATCTGTCAGGGCCCGCGGGCCCGAGAGTCCGACTGCCCGGGAATCCGGCCCACAGTCGGCATGGTCATAGTGCGTTGGGCTCACTCGTCAGTAACTCGCTTTTTGAACAATCAATAATGAACACGGAATTTTCTGAAAGGCTATAGCCTAATAAAGCTTGGGTCAAAGTTCGAATGAAATCCGCGATCTGTATGGCCTGCGCTAATGCTAGTAACTATTCTATGGTATGAGGGAACAAAATTACAGTCAAAGGCAACCATCAACAGCTTTAGGGAAATGTGGAACCTTGCATCTTTCTAAGAAGCGGGCTCTTTTCACGAATCCTATTTCCCCAAAAATAGAAAACAACGGGAATGGAGATACATAAAACTTCCACAATACCCAGGAGTGTACTCCCCCAATTCAAACCGAGAGTCGCATACATGGACGGGCCCGCAAGTGGAAGAACGGCACCCATAACACTCCTGCAAAGCATATTTCCCGCAAGTGCAGACGCAGCATAGATACCATAAGAGCGTGCCATGTAATTGGAAGCATAAATGAAGACACACGCGTTGCCAGCTCCGAAGGGAACACCAGACAGGATAGGAACGATCCAGTGCACATTTGGAGTACAGGTCCACGCAAACCAAAGCTGCCCGATGGCCAGGAGAGTAGCACCAAGGCCAACGATGCTCACCATAGCCTCTGGCTGTACTGTGCCGTCCTCTGATTTCTGGTGGCAGTTGATCACCCTGCGGAATATAGGCTCACATGCAATGGCTAGTAGAACGCCTACTCCGATGCCGATAAACGAGAGACCACCAATCCCGGGAGACCATCCGCGCTCTTGTTGAAAGGCAATAGGATAAGCGACAAAACATAGGTATAGCACGCCATAGACAAGCGCCACGTATGCATCCCAGAAAATGCTGGCAGTGTGGTTAGAAGAGGGTAATCTATGAGAAGAGCATCTTGTTCTTACCAAATCGGTTCTGTTAGAAGCATTGAGAATGGGCGACCGAGGTTAGCTTTTAGTAATGGCATCAATTCCTGTGTGTCATCATAACGCGTCCACAACTTGTGATTCTGCGTTTCAGTTCTCCGTCTCTTTGCACGCCTCCTTAGGATAACTGGGGCGTATGTTTCCTTGATGAAGACCATTAGAACCAAAACAGCCCCTCCAATTATTAGGACAATCCAGTTCGTCCATCTCCATCCTAGGTACTCGTAGACGAATCCGCCAATTATCGGACCATAGACGGGGCCGTTCGTAGGACCAATGGACCAAAAGCCTAACGCTAACGGCCGATGCGCATCAGATACAATGTCGTTTACCGAAGCGGGTGAATTTGACATCAGGGCACTTCCAAAAAGCCCGCCAAAGAATCTGCTCACAAGGATTGTCTCAATGTTCTGCGCCAGGGCGCTAGGCAACAGTAGCAACAGGAAAACCGTCATCGAGAGAAGATAGACTGGCCGCCGACCAACAAGCTCGCTCAACGGAGCAAATAGGACACTTCCTGCCCCCATGCCGAGCAGGTAGGTGGTGACGCCAAGCAGGGCTCTCAGTTTAGAAATGCCGAAAGTTTGCTCAAGCCCAGGGATACCAGATGTATATAAAGTGCTGGAAAGACTGACTACCGTGGCGCCAAGACTCATGGCTGCGACAACGATAGCCTTATACCATAGTGGCCACAAACGGGGATTTTCTGGGTCATCATCTTGCCAGTAGACTTCGTATTCTGGTGGATTCTGAATGCTGGGTAGCTTTGAGGTCACGGGCTCGATACTCGGAGCGCAATAGCTCTCTGCCGGGATGAAGCTCGACCTTGAGTCGTGTGAAGTATCGACATCTTTGGAAGAAGGCATTGTGGATTAAGCCGATTATAATCGACTTAGAACGCATATGGTACGGGATGTAATGTACATAGAACAGGGACCTAGTATTTATATAGCGCAGAAGTATCACTAATGGCATTTGTTCCTAGTCCCCCGACAGGTGGGATACCGGTAAAACAAAGCAGACCGGTGCCCTGGCACCTCACAATGAACCTTGGTATCTATCAAGTGGGATGCCGGCGCTCCGGCTGGAGTAGTAGTAGTGGCGATGATCTACGAGACTGGGTTAATCAGCTGCCGGCAGGCGGGATGCCGAACAAAACCTTGACAACGAGGAGTGCGGCATCCGTGGCGCGAAGCTTGCATGATCGACAACGTATTCTGTCTACAAATTGAGGAAGTAGGAAAAAGGTATCCTTTTCATCAAGCGGGATGCTGAGTCCCCTACGTTCTATCAAGTGCAGAGAGAGCGGATGCAGGGATTAGTAAGTCGATTCCTCCCATTGCAATGGCCACTAAAGCTTTTCTTTGGCAGAGTACCAGGTACATTGATCTAATACCGAGAATCTGGGTACACCTTGTGTCGAGAATACTGGATTGAAGCATAATGGATTGAAGAATAACACACGTGATGGTATCCAGCAACTACAAGTTCTGCATTAGGAGGTGCAATATTCACATTCGATAGATATCCGTCATTATCTGACGGGTATTGCCATCGGCTCTAAAGGTTAATTTTTGAGGCCGATACGGGGTTATCCCCTGGAGGACAGCAGCGACAGCTCCTTGCCGCTTCTTGGCTCTCTGCAACATCTTGTGAGAGAATATAGCTTGTACATAGATTTGTGCTTTTACCTCACGGTGACCAAGAAACAAATCTCAGCAAACCCAGGGCAGTCGATGGACCACAAAATCCAGGTTCATAAAGGACTCATCACTCCCTGAGACTAATGCATATCTCTTCCACGCGATGTTAAGTGTCCGATCCCGATGGGTTGACAGCCTAGCGCTTCGTCTAGACTATGATAGGATTAGTCGAACCTGGTCGCTGTTGAGCTCCCTTTCCATGTATCTGAACGCTCTTCAGTCGTGGGGTGTCATCTATGCATTTGTAAGTATTTACGGCGCCGGACAAGATCCACGTGCGGATGAGAAAGACATCTCTCGATTCCTACAGGAGGTGCCCTTACGCTATTGTTTCCTTTTCGGTCAGTCGGCTGCGTCGAGAAAGCTATCCCGGCACATTTCCAAGCCAACAGAAATTTTTCAAGATCATCGAATTGATTCTCTGCTGCCACACCTATGCACCCGAAAGCAGCTGAATTCACCATCTTCGTCTATCCCGGTCGAACTGATTGCCAAAGAACTTCGTGATGCCATCTAGATAATCTGGTATGTTCATTCCTGTGTGCGTCTGGGCTGGCGTTGAACTCAGTGGGGTGTCTCATCATGTTTCGGTCCACCTTGGCTTTACACAGGTGAATCCTGGAATATGATATATTCCTGGTTCACGTTGTGAACCCATGAATTATAGAATCCATGGATAGGCCTCCCACCACAATGAAAAACATCAGAAAGTACCATTGTTACGCTTCTGAAATATCCAAGGAAGTTGAACAATGTGACATCAAAAGAAAGATGGAACTTTTGTGGAAGGTAGCCAGACATCCAGGCAGTTATTAGAGGCGCGGGTGGCTGTTGTGGGTCAGGAATGCACTAAAAATAGTGGTACTGTCGAATGAGAGATCATTCTCCTTCGGAGCAAAACAGCACTAGTTCAACGAAAGAGTCGGCCGGATTACGAAGTATCTCCCCGAGTAACTAATCATCCGAAGTCGCGTCGTTCATCCACTCGGCGAGGTGGCCAGTTACTTACCCCGCAGCTAAACCTGGCGGGCGCAGCAGTATTATGGTAGCTCCCAGGCGACAAGCAGTCACTCTGGTTATCATCGCCGTCCTTCTTCTTTTCACCACCATCCTCTGGAAACACCCTTCTGGACTTTTACCAGCCCTCCCACATCAATCTTCGCCCGACATGTCGATCACTCACATTGTCATGTTCCAATTCAAAGCGGAGGTCAGCCCCGAAGTAATCAAAGATGTAAGTTACACCAGCTCAGCCTAGCACTTATCCACATCTAACATTGGGACGTCCCCGAAGGTGTGCTCTCGGATGCTCGCTTTGAAAGATAATTGTATACACCCCACCTCACAGAAGCCATATATCCAGGCCGCATCGGGCGGGCAGGACAACTCGCCCGAAGGCATCCAAGTGAGTGATGAAGGAATGTCCTCCTTGCACATGTCCATAACTAACATCCCAAAGAACGGCATCACCCACGCTTTTGTGGTGCACTTCGCCAGTGCTGACGATCGTGATTACTATGTGTCCAAGGATCCAGCTCACCTGGCATTTGTCAAAAGTCTGGATGGTATCATCGAGAAGGCGCAGGCGGTTGACTTTATCGATCGTGTCTATTGATCTGCTGCATAGCATCTTAGTGCTCAATGCAAGGGCGTCGAGGACAGGAACATCCTCGTACCCCTCGGTCGCCTGCAATATTAGTTTAATCTCATTGCTAGATGGATGTGTATACTTTGATTGTAACGTATTAAACTGGCCTAGTTATCCGATAATAAAGTTCTAACATCTCTAATCGAACATGAACCTGGGAGACAATCACTAATTATGTAATATCGCATTTGATAGACTGCTATCAGCCAAGGATAACAGAAGAGAGCCCCTCGTTTCAAATATCTGCCGATATCCGATAATGGAGATATGGCGATTCCTGCGCAACGTATTCTGTCATTGCCGTGCGGGGCATCGGCGAATGACAGCCAGCGGATTTCTGAATGTCTTCGGCATCGTAATGCTAGCTTGAGATGATGTGATTACCACACCATTTATATACCGAAACCCAGACTGCTTTGTTGTCGCATCTTCTTTTCGCTTTCTTCAGACATCACATTAAAGTTATTCCAAATTATAGCTACTATCCACCATGGTTGAGGTTCAAACACTTGTCCAACCGGACATCCAATACCACCCCGACTACGCCAAATACACTGCCCGCACCCAGCGCCGTGTCACCACTGAAACCCTGCCAAAGACACTGCCCCAAGGATTTCCCAAGCATCTCAACTCTCCTCTGGTCTGGGAAGGAACAGAAGTAGAGAAGCGCGATGACTGGATTTACAAATTGAACGATGCGCAGCTTGACGAAATCGACCAAGCCCTGCAGTCGTTTAAATGTAATTCCTCCACATCCTAGAAGAATGTATATCGCTAACACCACCACAGCAAAGAACCTTTCCCTGGGTTCAATCAACCAATCTACCTTCCCCCTACCAACCCTTCACCCCATTCTCCGCGACCTCTCCCGCGAAATCCACCTAGGCCGGGGCTTCGTCGTCGTCCGCGGCCTCCGCATCGATAGCTATTCCCGCGAAGACAACATTATCATCTACGCCGGCGTCTCCTCCCACATCGGAAACTACCGCGGAAGACAGGAAGATAACCGGACCAAGGGAGCCCCTTCCCGTGTGCTATCCCACATCAAAGACATCTCCAATACCGTCCAACCGGGGACTATCGGCGCGCCCTCCAACACAGCCGATAAGCAAGTCTTCCACACCGACTCCGGGGATATTATTTCCCTCCTCTGTCTCCAAGAAGCCGCAGAAGGCGGAGAGAGCAAGCTAGCTAGTAGCTGGCACGTCTACAACATTCTTGCCAAGGAGAGACCAGATCTTATTCATACGCTTACGCAGGAATGGCCATTTGATGGGTACATATCTACCATTCTTTTTTACATGATATGAGTGACGCTAACTGGAGGATAGATTCTCCAACCCCACGCAGCCATACAGCACCCGTCCACTCCTCTACCACCAACCTGCCACATCTAGCACCCCGGAACGAGTCCTGATCCAATACGCTCGCCGCTACTTTACTGGATTCATGGCCCAACCTCGATCTAAAAACATCCCGCCCATTACTGAAGCGCAAGCAGAGGCGCTCGATGCGCTGCACTTTTTGGCTGAAAAGCACAGTGCTTCCCTTGGATTTCAGAAGGGAGATATTCAGTACGTGAATAACCTGAGTATCTTCCATGCAAGGAATGGGTTCACGGATGGGCCTGGGAAGGAGTAAGTAATTCTTCTATCATAGATGTGGGTGTGAGAAATACTAATGAAAACATAGGCGCCATCTACTGCGTCTTTGGTTGAGGGACCCTGAATACGCATGGGAGACTCCAGAGCCGCTGCGGAAGAGATGGGATAGTTTGTATAAGGATCTGGAGCCTGAGGAGCAGGACTTCCCTCTTGAGCCGAGGATTCGGGGGAATACAACTTCTTAGGTGAACTTTACAGGTTTAGTTGATGCATGTTTTATTGTATTGTGAGGTCGAGAAATCTATCTATTCTGAGTATAGTTTCTTTTCGCAGTATTTTCGCGAAAGGGATAGGTTGTGCTTGATGAGAATATTGCATGCCCACGAAGTCATTAAATTGACTACCACAAGACCTTGGGCAAGCATCCAGCATGAGTTTCCTGGTGAAATATCGAATGATCATATTTGAGATATGCACCAACTCTCACATATTTTTCTTCTTACCAGATAACTACCACAGGGTTTGCTGTAGCCCGCAATAACGCTTCCTGTAACCAAATATTCATCATTCCCGTGACACGTTCCCCCACCACTGTCTTTGCCATTTCGCTGCCACTTACTACCCTATTTGTGGCCACAAGCAAACATTATTTGGGCCAGACATTATTTCTTGCCCGATTACCCTCTTCACAATCGACGTTGACTGTTCCGCCATTAGACCACCCTCACAGTGAACAGTCGGGCCGGTGGACTGATAGACAAAGTCAAACTCATAATAACTTGATCCCAATCGACCTATAAGCCAAATCCAAATCATATATACCACCCCCCACAGAGCAGCCATAGATCTGGTGCACTGCACATGAGACAAGAGAACATGGTGATTGGGATTCGTTGTGTATAGATTCGCCTGTAATCATGTCCCTACAATCTGATAACCCCAAATTTCCATGTCTCATTATAAGTACTTGCAGCATTTCTTGTGAGTATACCGCAAATTCGCTTCGTAAATACCAATCCTAACAGGGTAGAGGCGCCTATGATTCACATGATTCATGTTTCAGCAGCTGGTGCTTCTCTGCCATCTCTCTGGATAGCGCGTTGCGACCGCCGAAGAAATATAGGCTTGTGGTGCATTTGTGTAATGGTGGAGTACTCTTCTGGGTCCGTTTGAGCGCGTGCTGAGGACCTAGCTATGCCCAGTGGATAGGGAATAGTCTGGGAAGAGTGACCGAGAGCCGTGTGGGTTGGTCCATTCGTTGGAATCATCAATTCTGATAAATGTCTCCTTCGCCATTTTTCATATGCAGTGCTTTAAGGTAGGACAGGAAATCCTGTTTTCTTCCCTTATCTCACTGTTTGGCAGAGGGGTGCTGTATTCGTCACTCGGGACAATGTGAGGTCTTGCCCATTCTCAACGCCGTTCAGCTTGTACTCTTCGTTGACTTTGTCTGGATCTCCTGTTAGGCACCATCCTTGTATTTCATGACGAGGTAGAGTAAATAGGCCTGCATGCAAAAGTAGCGGAAGATTATCTCGTCGCATGCTCTCAAGAACGGAAAGGACCCATGCTTGGAAGCACTGCTTGTTTGTTTCGGACCCGTGTGGTTGAGAAAGCTCCCTGATAATTAACTTCGGACAAGAGTACCGTCCAGTATATAAAACCCATGATCCGCTGTGGAGACAATTTTCTTCCCTCCTGAGTTGCATTGCAGACATAATGAAAGCGACGGTCTGCACCTCTACATATATATCTTCGAGCACTGTGCCGAAAGAACGGCTGTTTAAATCCCAGCGTTCATCAGAGAGACTGGTAAGTATAAAGGCGCGAGATCCTGGCTCGGCCAGACTTCGTCGCTTGGAGGCTTTGGCTGATCTGCATGAGAGAGATAACGTATCGAGCAAGCCCGTGTGTTGCCCAGAGTGCTTGTTGAGGCTGTATAGACTCCTTTTATTTCCTTCCTCGCCATTCTGAGCAGCCTTTATATTGTCGATGGAAACCCCGACACTGGGGAAGAATGAGATTTCCTTATTTCTCGTGGAAGCGGTGTGCTCAGGACGGAGGTCTGAAACCCAACCACTAGCTTTCATTATAAGGAGACATCAGTATATAACCAGGACTGACGCATGGTATTTCCATCAGTGTCGTTCTTATCCTAATGTGCCGATGAACGCCCAGACCCGAACAATCGGTTCGGATCACGTTAGAGTTATACAAATGGGCTTCCAGCACATGAAAGGAAGCAGTCCCAACTTGGAATATCGGTACTCCGTTAATAATCGTTCAAGCCAATATGATCCTACTTGACACGTCTGATGCACCTATGTGTTGTGCTTGTTATCTTTTCTGTCGTTCGATATCTAGAATAAGACACCAGGTCCTAATTGAATAGCCCAGCCGGTAACAGACCAGATCGCCCAGCATACTAGCCATACAGTACTGCACGTTCAGCATGCAGAGCAGCATCCCGTTCATGTGCAGATGCCGGAAGAGGGAGGTGGCCGACACGGCGTGGAGTGGGTTATTCTGGTGCGTCGACTCAACCACCGGATGCAACTGGAACGGGTCCCCGATGATCAAGTACCAACAAGGATCATAGTTGGCGAAGACCGGGCACAGGTCCGCCTCGGACGCGCGCGCCGCCTCGTCGATGACGATGAGTTCCGGGCGGAAGATGCCGGTGACGAAGAGCTGGCATTGGAGCAGAATCTTGTCAGTACTCACACTGCATGGTTGATATCTGGCCTGCTAGTCATCGATAGACATGATCTTCCATCAACAAGGATTTAATGATGAGGCAGCTTGATCCGGGGCTTGATTGTATTTTCAGGGGGTTCTTCGAGATGGGTGCACCAGCAAACTATATTCAGTGGACCAAGAAGACAGGACAGTCATCCATGCTTCTCCGGCGAGACTTTTTGACGGCGAACTCTAAGCGCGATGCCACAATGCAGACCTGGTTCGGCGATAACAGGAATATACAACGAGAGTGAAGGCCGCAGTTAATCAGCTTGCCGATATATTGACCGCATTCGATGCAATCACCACCCCGGAGATCCTTCCGGTTGCTCCCTTGTTTCACTTCGCAACCAGAACGCCGTGCTTAGATCTTTCTGTAGCAATTGTCCCAGACGCGTAAATGCGGCGATTATTTGGTAAAGCAAGAAAGTATACTTCAGTATCGTGGTCACATTATAGTAAATCGATCAGGTGACGCTTCAAAGTTTTTAATGTTCTTCATCTTCACTGTTATAGCGTTGCATTTGAACTGTGTCCGCAGACACACGTGAACAGGCGTCTCATCGAACTCTGCATGGAGTTCAATGGAGGCCATGTCAATGGCATTGTCAACATCCCAACTTTCTGGTCAGCAGCATCGTTACTCTCGAGGTCCGCAGCCCAGGCACAGTTTTCTTCCAGATGCCTGACTGCCTCTTCACTACCGGCCAAGTCGACCTCTCGAAGAAATCTTGCACTGCCTGCTGTGGGTTCCACATCCATCTTCTGTGCGTGTCTGCTTGTTCTCAAATGCCTGAAGAATTAATATTGGATGACTCAAAAATAAGATAACGTGTATCATGTCGTTTTCGTCCCTGGGGATCTGCAAAGAGACCCTTGGCGGGATATCCATCCAAATCTCATTAACTGCCGACGGGCATAGTGTTCACAGTTTGGAAGACTACTCCAACCACAGCAGGATTAGGCTACGAAACTCTAAAAGTGCGAATGAAAAGGTTGTTCATTCCAACCAGAGCATAGTCAAGTGCGATCACTTCGTTTGTCGTGTATTGCAGATTGTGTAGTGGAATATAACTGCGTAGGTTTCCTCAACATATTGATTCGTATAGTTCCGTGAAGCAAATGGCATTAAGGGAATGACATGCCTAACAAGGAAGTATATCATGGCATGATTGTCCACAAGGAAAGCCGTTGTTGCTGCGCTCTGATCAGGTTGACGGATGTGTTTTCATGGAAGTGTTCCCAAGGATTTCGTAGTTCCCGTCGGAGTTGGTGTCTGGACTGAAAGAACCACTGCAAGCAGGCGTAGCAATCGGTCAGGCCTGCCTTGGCCCTCTAGCTCTCAGGAACATCATTCGCGGACCCGTTTGCCTTGGTGGTCTGGAGCCATCTTCGAATCATGGATTGGTTTTTTTCCCTTCCTTATTTCTAGTTACTTTTTCCTGCCGTTACCTCTTGGATTTATGTCCTTGCTTATTCTGTTGCTTTCGTTGCTTGATTAGCCTTCTGTTCTTTTGTAGTTGCGTTCATTTATTGCTCAGTTTCATTCGTTCGTTCATTCATTATTCATGTATCTTTTTGATTTTCTTTCTCTCTAGTGGTATTTCATTCCGTTATATCGCAGCGTGGTATCTCCGTCACATCATTCTCAGTCCCTTCTATGGGGAAGAAATGTTGTCCTCATCCTGGACCGATATTGAGCCAGTCACCTCCGCGTGGGCGAAGCCTGCAGATATCTTCCAACGTCAACAAAAGCGAAGCATATTTCACGCCACGAGATAGTGCGAAGAGACTCTCATCTGAACAGCTGATAGTGAAGATCTGCGGTGACAGTCGTATCAATATCGTATCTTGTATGTCCAATTCCTCAGGTGTTGCATTCAAGATTCCAGCGTATATCGAAGACGCACCGAAGCCACGTCGCGTCTTGTTTCCGTGACTTTTCTCGGTTTGTTCCAGTACCAGAAGGCCCTGGCTTTCGCATAGACCCAAATATGCACCTGATCTGCTCCTCGACTCACCTCATGCACTCTTTGGCCTTCCATTTCTGTCAAGGAAGCCGAGCAGACCTCGAACATTCTATCTTGCCTTCTTCATGTAAAGACACGATGTTACTTGAGATTGTCGTGGCCACAATCTTCGTAGATGATCCCATTCATATACACTCTCAAACCCAGGGAGCCCAGGCGACTTGTAGCGTATCACCTTGGACTTTTTAATGGCTCGCCCTTGGCGCAAGAGTGAACAAGTTATATAAGTCGCCCAATAATGGTTCTGACGTGCTCGTACCTCTTGATTCTGCCGGTTGCTTTTTCTCCAGGTCCTGGAGCGCGCACAAGCACCGAATACCTAGGGGTGAATTGCGGTACGCCTGTTTCAGGTCTTCTTTCGGACATTGTATCCGACGTGACTGTTTCTCAGTCCTTCAGTGACTAGAATATCAGTCTTTGATGTGGTTGGGAAACGTCCAACGAAGAGTATTGCCAGCCAGCCTTAAATCCATCATGCGCTCTTCTGGCACTTGAATGTCGCGGCATATGGCAGAGCATCTTCGGTGTATCTCTTGTTGATATTCACCATCCAGCCGATTGATGACTGTTGTTGATAGGTACAGGTCGGTCGATCGTAAAGAAGCCGATGACAATCACAGAGCTCGCCGGCGAATTGACAAGATCCATAAGTGGTGGTTGAGGCTAGGAGGCTCACAGTCCCAATGTCGTTGGGAAGGATTAGAATATAGTCTGCCGGAAATTCGACTGAATGGATTGTGTCTGAGCGTGTCGCTTTATAAATATATAAATCGCCCTGCAGTGCGGAGTGATAAACTTCTAAATAGATCTCCCTTGAATTTGAAGAGCAAGTCGATTGGGAAGCATAGGAGGGGCCCAGACGCACAAACCAAGGGAAGATGTTGATGGTTCAAGCACGCCAGTATAATCCTTTATGATATACCGCAAAAAGATAGAAACCGTGCTCTGGTAAGCCAAACCAAGGGGAGGACATCATAGTTGACTCCCACACGATCTATCAAGCTCATGGGATGGCCGTTGTAATTTGACGGCGGTAGAGTAGGTTCCATGATAGTAGATGCACGACAACCTGCTGCGGCTGGATGGAGGCAAGGACCTTGCGCGCGCCAACCACATCGACCAGTGTAGTGAAAGGAATCATATTAGGCTCCTGGTCTGCAGGCAGGTTGACTCATGTGCCAGTTTCGCGGTTCCATGGCCGGGTGAGGCTGAGGGTGCAGAACCCTGGAGGTGTGAAGCTGATATTCTCTATAATAACCGCACGCCATCCTGTCTCAGGAGCAGAGTTCTCCAAGTCAAAGATGACTGTCAGATAATCGTCCGGCCGCAGGCGCTTTTCACAGTCCTGCGGAAGAGCAAGAAAGGCGATATATTGTTGGTTGCCAAGGTTCGGCACGGCCACCACGAGGAGCTCGCAGTATCCTCCTGCATGATCACTGGCGGCTTTATCCTTGGCTTCTTTCTCGTATACCAGTGCGTTGTGAAGGCACGTGCCGTACTTTGTGAGATCGACAAAGGTGTTCCGCATCACATACAGGGTTTGAGGACGCCCATGCAACCTCGCACCCCTCTCTTGGTTGCTGCGGCCTTATTCCACAGAACTCTGATCGCTGGTTGCGACAATCTGACTGTGACTGGTATATTAGATGACCCTAGAACAAACAGTAGGTGAGGCTGACAATCGAAGACCTAATATGAACTTAGGGATCAATGGTGGGAACCGTTCCGCATCCTCTTCTTCGATCTGAAAGTCGGACAGAGCCACGACAGACGATCGCACATTGCCCTTGTACTGTGAAAGAGAGGTTCTTGCGGAATGCATTGCTTGAACCAGAGTCTACATCCTCAGCGTCACCTTCGTATGGTGAGAGAAGTAACGAAAATGCAAGCTGACAGGATAGCAAGGCCCATCGTTAGGTGTATAGTGACTCCGGCGTATCGCTGTCTCTGCAATAACCGTAGTTGGCGATTGCGTTTCCTTGATTCTATCGCACATTGACCGTTTTTGACCTTCACAGAGCCATCCTCGAAAATGGACAGGTTCACAGTACACAAAGCATCGTCGCATTCGTCGTCGCCCTCGATGTCTATCTTCATAAACCGGCCAGAGCAAGATACCGAGGAGGTATGCATTTGTCCAAATTGGGCGGACGGTAGTAAGATCAAGATTGCGGGTATGCCAATCGGGGAGACGAGCCACACCGAGCCATGACATGGTACTGCTCAAAGTGTTGACAATTGATGGCTTATCTGCTGGTAATTAGACTCGTTGACGGTAGGTGTAGATTGAGATTGCTGCATGCTCTTGCGAACAGAGCAATCGATTTTTGCACAGGAATAGGAAGGAGAACCATTGCAACCTTTGTCGATAGACTCGTGTAATTTGATCGACAGAGAACGAACATTGACCAGCGTCTCTTGGACATTACACAATTTCGATATCCTCGTATACTTTTGATCACAGATATCTAGACTCATGACACCGCACATGTCACATCCTCTGTTGTAGCCTTCACTGCAATGTGGATCATCTGTTATGTTGCAGCCTTATCCGTCAGTTTAACAACCGAGACAAGACTCCATTTAATGGCAATTCCATCGATAATTGCCCTTTGTAAGATTTGGCGGTAGGACTGTGTTCCAACGACATCTAGAAGTCCCGACTGTTGTGAAAATTGAGAAACGCAGGATAGGTATTAATCGTTATGTCTCCAGATTGAAGTAATGTCAAGACCAGAAACACGGTGATAGAGCAGAAGTATCTCATTCATCCGTTGAAACGGGGCTTGAGCTTCATCTGATCTGGAGGAGTACACAAATACCAGATAACATGGACCGCAAAAACATCTTCTCCAGACCCATCTGGTGAGTCGGTTATCAGCATAGAAACACATGACAAGCACCAAGCCAGGTCGAGCTGGGGTGTGCTTCATCAACCTAATACCAGCTTGTGCATTCGAAAGCAGCGCCGACCGAGTACATGGATTTTGCGCTCGAGTATATTCGCCAAGAGCACACAGTCTCTGTCATTTCTCAACTGTCATAGCAGAGATGCGATACGTCTGGAAACCCGAAGGCATCTCATCAGGTGTCAATGGAACTAATCCCTCTTCCCTGGGCAACGACGTGATGAGAGAAAGTGATCTGTCCAAGTCTGACAACCACTGTGTACCTTTCTCTCATTCCCATCGGAGAGCCATTGAGTGATGCTAATCGGAATGTGGCTCTCGGCCATTGAGTATCAGCGGGGCCTATCGGACCACAAAATCCCGGGCGCCATAGGAGTCTTGCTTGAAGTGATTTTGCTGCAAGCTCCATGTTGATGACGTCTTTGAAGGAAAAAGGAATAGCCTTGCCGTTGAGGTGGAAGCCCCGTTCATAGTGGGGTTTGTTGTATAGCGAACAAGAGAATCGACTTGGTCGAGAATATGTTTTCATGGCGATAAGGAGTATGAGATGGGCAAAGCATGGCACAGTATAATATTCCGTAGGGTGCAAGTGATGACTTTGGTAAACAAGCCATCTCACACCTCATAACGCGCCTTTTCAGTTATCTTTTTCTTCACCGAGTTATATCTGTATAATGAAATACAAGGCGCAAGCAAGGACCGATGGGTGTGTCCCCACACAGCCTGTAAAATGAAAGAGTAAAAGCGACGAAGAGGAAATGCTAGGATGGTGGTTAAGCGTATAATAAGATGCTCATAAGCCACCACAGTAGAGGCAACAATGTGACCAACAATGAACCAGGGCCGCACACTTCGTGTTGCCATCCAGCTGGGGTGCCAGGAGCAAGGCCAACCGTGGCCTGTGAAAATGAACCATGAGCCGCAGGATTCCGCTTCAGTACTGCAGCTATTTTTTTCTTCACTGCCGGACATGGTGATTCCACCCAGTAGATCAGAGCAGTATTATATGTTCTTGTAAACAAAACATCAAGCTCATAGAAGGTGTATGTGATATAAAGTGATGGAGTGCCAGCAGAAGGGCCAACCATGGCCTGTGAAAACAAACCCATTTATCAGAGGAGTTCGCCTCAGGCATGCAGTCGTTAAATTCCACACTGTCGGGGATGATGAATTCATCCACTAGATCAAGGAGCATTGACTATCGCTGATCCCAATCCATGCAGCTCATGATGTGGTGCTGTTTTTCTTTTCCAACACCACATGGGTCTCTCTTCTATAACTGGTCATTTTGACTGGCGTTCAATAAATTTGATTGTTGGTGTCCTACTCTTCCGTTTCTTTCTCTTTGTATATACTTTCTTATTTATTTTTCGTTTCGTTTTTCTTTTCTGTACCTTCTCTTCTTCGAGAGACCCAATAATGGTATCGAGATGTGCAAGACCGCTGGAAATGGTTCGAGTCCCTTAGCAAGTCATCGTAGCTTTCAATCTTTTGTAGACACAGTTGCTGGAGTTCCAGCTCAACTATCTTCCATTTCCCAAGGGTCAAGCACCCCAGTAGACTGAACGTTCGCCAACATGTTCCAGTCAGGGAAGATAGCCGGAGACTGTCTCTTCCGCGTTCATAATGAGAGCAACCAAATAACAATAAGAAAGCGTATAGAACTGCCTATAAGCCAATCCAATCACCATGTGCCATCAATGCTCCCATCCAACTCTTCATGTTGGAGGGAACGAGGACTATGGTCTGTATGGGCTGGACACTTCGATACCAGTGTTTGGAGTCCAAATGAGCCACATCAGCTGAGGTTGGAGTCTGCAAAACGTATTGTATAACAGGCACCATCAGGCAGCTGCCTGCAAACCCAAGACGTATAAGATTAGTAGCGCCGTTATATCTGTTGATGGTATTATGGAACGCAATAGGCGGAATTATGTGTCATTTGCGCCAGTCATCAGCGGATCGCTGCCGAGCCAGACCGTGGCGAGGATGTATGCATGGGCATCCTGAAAAGAATCCCATGTCAGTTGTTGGATGTCATCTTTAGCAGCAATTCTGTGATGCAGGATTTCTTGTCTTTGAGTTCCGAGACATTTCCATAAATCATTTATTACTTCTGTATGGTGATGGTAGGATTTGAATCAATCTGAAATGTTCTGGCAGATCTTGATCCCAGATCACTCCCATTTCCGTGGTTTACAGGATACCCCGTTGAAGAATGGGCACTGTATCATCCGATGGAAACTCGGATTCGAGTTCCCCATAACCATGTTGCGTCAAGGTACTAACGATCAGACCAAAGACGATATATCGTGTCTATCTGAACAGCGGACTAAGAGGCATATCGCAACCTATTGGACCCGAGCACATCAGTAGAGAACATATGAAACGATAATGGATAGTAATACTTCTTCATGCAACCAACTGACTTCATCTTTTGAAAGTAGTTTGATATCAGCAACTGACTGGATAATTAGCTCACTTCCACAAAAGCACCAAAGAGATACCTGCCAACTCATCCGAACCTCTCCAAATAACATCTCATCCGTTATCAACACCCCGAAAACCTCTACCTGACCAGAAAGCCATCATGGAAAACATGGCAATATTGGGCTGATTAAAGATCCGTATACATCCGATTCAACTCTCCTTCTTCCCCGATTCCAGTGGCATTCTCTGACTATTTGTCGGTGGGTGCCTCTGACTGTTGTGCTGCTTGATGGGAAGTGCAGAGAAGGCTGGTATTCGCGAGATTATATAGGCCAGAAATTTGGCAGGTCACATGACTTATTCACTGTGAGTTCGATGGAAGGATCCGTGACAAATTGTCAAATTTAGCATGGATAGTGGCGATATTCGATTGTGATTTGGAAAGCTCCGTCAGTGAAGCTGTTGAAAACACGGGAATCTCCAATATTGAAGCTGTCAAGTCAGTGGCAAAGTGGTCTAGCCCGCGAGGTTCTGGTGTCCTGAGTAACTCAAATATGAATAGTTGAGGAGCATTCCGTGGAATAATTGGAATTATCCTCTGAATATGGGAGTATCCCGTCAATTAAATGGAATCCTCCTTCATCACAAGCGAAATCTCCGGTATTGATACCTAATTTCTCCACTCTGCCTACGTGGCCAGAACTGGAAATTGTCATCTTCCGTGAAATTCAGGGTTATCTCCCCTGCGTGAAAAACTTTTCCGATCAAGTCAAAGCAATAGCTGAGTCTGGGCTGGTCCATGAGATGGGATGACGTATGAGCCTTGATGCATCCCACAGGGTAAAGGTTACAGATAGTCACGGGGGTTATGCACACAGGTTATGGTCATAGAGGTATTCATTACAGTGTCCCATAGAGAGCAGCCTCTTCCTTTATAGATAATGTAGCTAGTATCGTATCTACCCCACTCATAGAGAAGGTCCAAGACCCCAGATAGTTGACAGCGTACATAGTACCCTCCGCACTCGGAAACCCACGGCCGCAGTGCATGATTCAGGTTACTGCGTGGCACATCAAGGAAACCTATATCCAGGTATACATCCTACACATAGTGTGCAGGGATATCAAATACCGATATTAAGTCTACGAATTCCGAGAGCGTCCTCTTGACTCAGTAGACGTTCATCCTGCGTCGGAAATATGCGGAAAGAGTTCCCCCCTTCCCAACCCCTTCGGTATCACCATCATTGTGTAGTGGAAAGTGCTATGGTCGCACAATGTCGAGATCAGACCATTGCATACTTTCAGTGATTTCCGTATCGCATGACACCGGCAACTGAAGGCCATCGCATCGGAAGCCGGATTCCGAAGCCAAGTCGGGGAGGTATAAAACATGCCGGGGTTGGGGGATGCCGAGATGAGGGTAGGATTGGTGGACACGGGAGGGGAAGAAAGGAGATAAAGTTACTGTAGGGTCTGGTCTCCCCGTGGGGAGGCTCCGGGTTTACTTTGTGGATTGGAATCCACGCGACTAACTGGATCCTAATTTGACTTGTTAGGGAAAGTCTTGGTTGTGCTACTCAATTCACCAATGATGGGACAGGTTTTTGGAATATGATGTCATGATTGTCGATCGTTACAGAGAGTGCTACCTAATGTACTACTTTACACACATAGTCACACTCCACTCAGCCAGTAAGTGAAGTGACATCCGTCTAATGACCCATCGGAATCGGCTTGTCCGCACTTCGCATTCGCTCTTCGATGATGTCTTTTCGCTCCTTGCGCAGCTGTCGGGCGTACCGGACTCCGAAGCCGTGCTGGAACACCTCCTGCACTTCTTCCAGGACGAGTCCGGAGACCTCGGGATAGAAGAAATAAATCCAGACGTAGGAAATGCCGCATAGAGCTGCGTAGAAGCCAAATGCTCCGGATGGGGTCATCGATTTGGCCATGGTGAGGAAGGTGCTGGAGACAATAACATTGCTGCCCCAGTTGGAGCAAGTCATCCACATGGTGCCCATCGCGCGCACCTCCAACGGGAAGAAGTCTGTGCTCATCCAGGCGGTGTTGCCGACCGAAACCCCGTAGAACACGACAAACCAGATGACGAACACCAGAATGACGATAGCCGCCGGGGAAATGCCCGGGTTGAGGGGCTCTAGCGTCTCCATATTGACGGGAACCCAGTGGAAGGCGATCGCAACGGCGGCCATCCCCACCGCCATTCCCCAGGCTGTTGCAAGCAGCAAGCGTCGGCGACCCCAGCCATCCACCACCATCATGTTGACCCAAGTCATGATAAAGTTGGTGCCCGCGACCACCAGCCCCACGGCCGTCGAGTTGTTGAACCCCACCAACGCAAACAGTGTCGAAGAGTAGTACATCAGGGCGTTGAACCCACTCATCTGGGAGATGACCATTAACCCGCACGCCGCTATCAAGGCGCGCAGATTACTCCCCACGGTATGTAATTTCACCACCTTCGACCACCCGCTCCCCGTGTCGTTGATCTCGCGGGCCTGATCGCAGGCCGCGCGGATCGTCACCAACAACGCGGCAATTTGCTCATCCGTCGCGGCGCTGCTGTAGATACGGCCCAGGACGCTGCGGGCTTCTTCCATTCGCCCGTTGTAGATGAGATGGCGAGGTGATTCGGGACAGAACGGCATCATACAGCCGAGGATGAGGGCGGGGAGAGCGCCCAGGCCGACCATGTAGCGCCAACCGTGGCTGACGCTCGCAAAGGCCGCTCCGATCGCATACGAGATGACCTGTCCACCGGTGATGGACATGTTGTTTAGCCCAATTAAGCGACCGCGAGCCCCCGCCGGTGCGATCTCCGCAACGTACAGCGGCACCACCATCGCGGCCGAGCCTACGCCCAGTCCGACTACCACACGACCCACCGCCATCTGCGCGATCGTATAGGCGGCAGCTTGCAGGACGGAGCCAATGACGAAGAGAACACAGCCGAGATAGATGGCCATCTTGCGGCCAAACTGTAGGTTTGTGTTAGTAGTGTCCTTTTTGCTTTTGCAGTCGCGCAGGAAGAAACTTACTCGGTCTGCGGTGTTACCAGCGAAAATCGCCCCGATGAACGCACCACCGGAGCAGAGAGAGGTGATCATTTCTTTCTCGGAGCTGGTCACTGGACGATTGTTCAGGTCGTCCTTGAGCACCACCAACACCCCGGAAATGATACCCGTGTCGTAACCGAACAACATGCCGGCAATGGAGGCGGTTAGGGCCACCACCCACACAAACCAAGTAATGGGCAGGTCATTGACGCTGGCAGCGAGCGCCTCGACGTCGGTTGCATTATCGGCGACCTCGATGTGTTTGGCGTCCGACTTGAGATCCAAGCTAGACTTGGTGTCATTGGCAGCTTTCTCGCCGCCAAAGTCTTTCTCGGAAGACATGGTGGAATTGAAGAGAATGCGAATTAGAAGAACAATTGAGCCTGGATCCCAAAATCCTCGTTTGGGGCAGTAAACATGCAGCTTATATAGTTATTTTCTTTATGAGGTCAGACATATAGCAGCGCACGAATATAACTTCAAGTGGTAGCCTAATGGTCGATCCTGGAGCCATGATCCAGTCAATAACCGAAATGCGGGGGTGGGTGTCTGGGGAAGACCGTCTTCTGCCATCTCAGACGACAGATGACGCTACATTCTTGGGCGTATTCCTGGCGCTGCACTGCATCGTTGGCTGGTATTGGTTCAATCAATGTGACTAGCTTGCTTTTGGTTGGTCGGTGGAGTCGTGCCAGAACCTTCTGTGCCAAATGCCTCATTTTACGGACCGCATCCTAGTCACGGCAGCCAACGGAAGAGCGTTTACCAGCCCACTTCACGGACAATTCCCGTCACCAGATTTCCCAACACGATGACTTCATGGTCAATTGGGTCAGAGATATGGTGAGATACTTGCATGCGGGATCTTGGGCAAACAGAGGATATTCTCACAATTGCCTGTTTCGTTCACCCCACGAATTTGTTCTTCTCTGGGCGAATTTGCTGCCAGATTGTGTGCAATCGGGATGTGAACGTCGCTAGTAAAGTACTTCCTGCAATTCTTATCACCGGCCTAGCCAGGTCTTGTGCTGTATGCTACATTCCTCGGGTCGGAATGCCTTGTCGTCGTGCAGTTCGGAGACCTAGCCCATGGTCCATAGCCGGGTGGGCAATTCTCGAGGCGGATGCTGCCGTAGCCGTGCATGATGGCCAATTGCAGGACTCATGGTAATCTCCTCCCATGCCAAGCTGCACCTCGATCGATATCGGCCTTTGGCTGACCTGCTATCCGGAGTCAGCAATCGCCGCTTCAGTGCATCCTATGACTAGACCTTTGTACTCACCACTATCTATCGGGCTGAATAAGTCAGAGGAGGTAGTGCACATGTACGTCACAATAGCACTAATCCGGCACCATCATGATGTTCTCCTGGGAGACTTGCAACACCCCGTGCGCTCCGGGTAGCCAAACCCGGCAACCCGGCAGGGAAGCCCATACCTGGTGTTGCAGCAGGCTTCCGTTTCGGCGCGCTAGATAATCTTCGCCACTGCACTAACTTGAGGACTGACCCGATGATCACAATATGGCCTTCGGGAAGGCCTATGCCTCCCTGTTGCAGGTCCTGCGTCGGCATACATGCCTGAATCTGTCTCGCCCTGCACATTCAATGAAAGCCGGTGTGATTTGAGGGCAGGAGTCTGTCGGATCGGTAGTTTTCCAACTGAGATTGATGGTTTTCTAATGGCCGAAACACGGTGGGAAACCGGCCAAAACCTTCCGAAAGGGTCGAACATATTCCTATCCTGCTATGTAATTGTACGTCCTGCCCCGTTGGATCCACCTCGTCGAATTCTCGGGAAAGAACAGAGTATATTGTTTCTTCACCGATTCTCGCCGACAGAATTTGTTCTTAATATCACGCTGGATAGAGGATAATATAATTTATGGCGTAATGGTCGGGATCTTCAAGGATAGGCGGAATGCAACTGTCGGGTATTCACAATCAGATGCGAGGCAGGTCAACTTCCGAAGGCATCTAGGCGTTAAAGTGGCAAACCCAAGATTGTATTTGCTCCGGACGCCTCTGTCTGGTTTATAGGGACGGCCTTCTTGCCTTGGCCATGGGCTGTTGAGACATATCCAGCGCAGAAGCACTGAGGGTGAAGTCGCGAAAGCGGGGATGCGGCCGGCAGGTGCCAAGTCACCGAGGAAATGAACCCTGCTTGATTGGTGGATTTAAGGATTCTTCAGGCTGACTAGTTCTTTCCTCATTCATTGACTGACTATACCTATAAAAAAGGTAGTCGCGTTATATCTGACTCTAGGGCCCTTTTTCAGTGGCTTTTAGGACACCCAGATGACCGTCCCGTACCATTATGATGATTAAATCACAGCTTACTCCTCTCCCAGACAATCGTCTTCCCTTCCTCCCAGGCCCGCTCTACAGCATCCCAATACCGCCTCTCATCCCCCATGACTAACCCACAATGCTTCCCATCCTCAAAGCTGACCCCGGTAACACGATACCCCCTGCGACTAGCCTCGATCATATGCCCTTCCACATCTTTCCAGGGAATCATGTTATCAATCCTAGAATAGAGATACAACCTACGCGCCTCCCCAAAGATCTCCGTATCATTCAAGTCCGCACGATAATCATCTATGGATCTCATGGCCTTAATACTCTGCAGAGCATATCCCACCTTAGCAGTGGAATAAAGCACTGCGGTTCCAATCGCACGACCAGGTTGAGCTGTCGGTAGAGCCACTGCTCCGGCAGCGTAGAGTCTGTCGAAAGATGAGTCCCCTGGACAGCAGTCGAAGATGATTAGCTTCAGCGCTGATTTGAAGTTCACTGGTTCTGACTTCATTGCTCGCGCGAGTTGTGTGACTGTGTTACAGCCGCCATTAGAGAACACGTGGAGCAAGATCCTGGCATCAGGAGTGGACTGCAGTGTCTTGGTTATTGTATTCTTGGCGGGAGTAAGGTTTCCATCGATAGAGTGCAGTGAACGGGCGACATAGTCGCGAAAAGAAGTGTTGATGAGCAGGATGGATGTGCGGGGGTAGCGTTGACGGTAGCCGCTGGTGTATTTGGCCACGCGGCGGGGTGTTGCGCCGCCGTACCAGGTGCACAGGATGATTAGGGATGGGTGGATGTTTTCATTCTCTGGTATTGGTGTATCTATAAGGTCTGGCTCGTAATAGTAGATGTTCTGCCCGATTGAACGAAAGTCTGTGATGAAGGGAGCAGACATTGTGGACGTGCAGGAGCTGAGTGGGGATGTCAGGTTTTGCTGGGGATTTATGGGTCATCATCAGTTTCCGGGGGAATACGGAGTGGGTAAGCGCTAGTAGTTTGTTCTCCTATAGCCGAATCAATTATAGCGCCCGTCTCATTTGATCTAGCGCATCATATTGTCAATATCCCAATAGTGTCGATTTATTTCATGGTAACTAAACAATCCTGTACCTGGCAGTTGGAAACCGAATCCCCGGATGTGTCCCGTTGATCATCCCGATTAAATTAGGTCAACCCTTGTCAAATCATTGGCTAAACTTAACTCTACATCTATCACTTCTTCCCAAACAGCTCACCCCATCTACCCAATACTTTCTGCTTCAATTCCTCCGAATACAACCCCTCAAAGCTGCCCGGCACCCAGGGCCTCTTCCCCTCCAACTCCGACGGCAGCAACAAATTCACGACACTCTTCCCACCCTTCCCCGGATTCGGCACCTCCGACCTACTCGCTCTGGTCATATACGGAATCATAGGCAAGCCATTCGCCTCTTCAAATACCAATTCATCCGCCCCAGGACGATACCTCGTCGCCAGCGCCCACACAAACTGCCCAATATCCGTAACATCGACATCATCCCCGACAACAAACACCTTAGGCGCTTCCCAGCCAGCATGAGTGCCAAAGACTACCTCTCCAACCCTCCTCGACAGCTCCTCCTTCTTCATCCCCATCCTCCCTAACCTCTCCACATCCACACTAACTACCACCCAGCAACACTGCGCCTCATACGGCATCCAAGCTATCTTCACCGGCAATCCCGCCTCCCTCAACGCATCCAGGATCTCCGCTGATATCGCTGCCCCCCACACCGTGTGCGTCTCGTCCGGCGCTAACCCCGCCACGCAGATCGGGACCACGGGATCCCGCCGATACGTCACGCAGTCCACTTCGATCTTCGGCTCGGGCACTGCCTTGTCCGGGAACATGTACCCGTGATACTCGCCCATCGGGCCCTCGCCGACTTCGTCGGTCGTGCTGATGTGGCCTTCGAGCACGATCTCTGCGTTGGCGGGGACGTAGAGGTCGTTCGTTTCGCATTTCACCACCTTCATTGCTTCACCGCAGAGAGCACCGATGTAGCCATCTTCGGATACGAATGCGGGAAGTGGCATGCCCCCAACGAAGGCGGCAGCTGGAGGCCCACCCAGGACTAGTGCCCAAGGGGTATCTTTGGCGCCTTGGTCGGCCCACATCTTATGCACCTGGGCGATATGTTGCCCTGGCATGATTGGTGCGGTGATTGTACGGGGCGTATTTGCGATGTGCATAGCACGGGAGATCGACCATGACGTCCATTCTTTATCAGGAGACTGAAGAATATGGAATCCATATGTGGCTAGGTAGTTGCCCCCGTCAAGTGGGTGAAGACGCGGAATAGGCCATTTGGTCATGTCAATCTCGGACCCGTGGAGGACGTTCTCTTTACATGGTGCAGATGAGGCGGGAACCGGAGTGGGAGGAAGTGGGGTGGAGTGCTTAGCAGCGATGAGCTTTTCGAGAATGTCAAGCGGGGTGGCAGTGGGGGGCAGGCCGATTTGAATGGCTAAACGGCCGAACCGGGTGGCGGGGTCAGCGCGGAGACCGACGGGGGCACCGAGGATCTTGAAGAGACCGGTTTCAGGTTCTGTGTTGGTGACATTGTGAAAGAGGGGGGCAGGAGCGTTTGTCTCGTATACGCGACGAGTCAGAGCGGCGATTTCAAGATCAGGGGAGGTGGACTGCGTAATATCGATGAGGTCGTCCTGGGCGCGGAGAGCGGAGAGCAGTGAGCGGAAGTTGAGGGCGGGGGAGTCATTAGCTCTGAGGGGTGTAGTGGAGAATGCCCGCGAGGGGCGGAGATGGGGAAAGCATTGGCCAGGTCTAAGGATGCGTAGCATGGTAGGTTTAGTTTTCGTGTTGCCTTGAGTGATGGTACGAAAGGAGGGTTCAACGGAAATATATCTACAGCATACAACTACTACATAGGGACCGGATATTCGGCATTATCATCAAGTCCAAAAAGGGGGGGATGCTATCAACGCAAGGAGAGATCTTATGATGTTGGAGATGAATTGGAGAAACTATACACTGTTACATCAACATGGCAGGGAACAGGCACACTAGGGAGACCCAGGTCTGCAGCGAGCTCTCGAAGCGAGTTTAGTCTCCAGATGGAAACAGGGTTAGGAAGTCCGACAGCCAGTTAGGGCTGTGGATTCATAAATGATCTACTGACGTATTAGTGCCATGCTTTATACCCCCAAAGAAGCATTCCCCGCTTCCCCGAATTGGAGAAGCATGCGAATGCCCTCATATCAACCATACAAACAGCACATTTACAATTGGAATTTATCTGAACACAAGCCAAAAGCAATACCTTCCTCGTTCATTACCATTTAATTCCGCGCCGGCAAGTCTCTCATTGAGCCCAAGAAAGACACGGGCAACTTCCACCATGAAATTCCGTCCCCGCCTCTCCCTCCCTCCCATCCCCCATAGCCATCACCATCACCCCCTACGCACCTACACATCCCAACCACCAGCACAACCACCGTCCACCCCCAATCCCCCATCCCAACCCCACCTCCGATACAACCGCCTCATCCTCGCCCTAACCGGCGCCACCGGCTCCATCTACGGCATCCGCACGCTCCAAACCCTACACAACCTGGGCATCGAAACACACCTAATACTCTCCAAATGGGCCCTCCCAACCCTCCGCTACGAATGTCCCCAATACACCCTTCCCTACCTCACCTCCATAGCAACACACACCCACTCACCGCGCGACCTCGCCGCCCCCATTAGCAGCGGAAGCTACCCAGTAGACGGAATGATCATCGCGCCGTGCAGCATGAAAACCCTCGCCGCTATACGCATGGGCTACGGCGAGGATTTGATCTCCAGGTCTGCGGACGTGTGTATTAAAGAGGGACGGAAATTGGTGCTCATGGTGAGGGAGACGCCGTTGAGTGTGATTCATTTGGAGAATATGCTTGCGTTGGCGAAACTGGGGGTTGTGATTTTCCCGCCCGTGCCGGGGTTCTATACGCGGCCGGAGGGGATTGAGGATGTGGTGAGGCACAGTGTTGGGAGGATGTTGGATGTGTTGGGGGTGGATGTTGATGGTGGTGGTGGTGGTCGGGTGGGTGAAGGGGATGGGGATGGGGATGGAAATGGGGTTATGCCGAGGGAGGGGAGGTGGATGGGGTGGAGGAAGTGAGTGTTTCTCACAGGGGGTGGTTTAGGAGGTAGTTGGAAGCATCTACGGATCTGGGAGTGTGAGAATATGGAGAGAGGATGATAATTTAGTGCTAATAGATGCTGGGATTAGGTCTACGTGGGTAATATAGAGTCCTATGATTGTTATATTTGTACTATAGTATGGGGTATCAGCACCTGTTAACCAGGAGTTTATATAAAAAAAAAAAAAAAAAATTTCCAAGTTGGTTCGCTGATGCAAAAGATCGTGTCTGCGCCTGCTCCGCTACCAGCCTTGGATCCTCCTCGTGAGCCGTCAAACGTGAGCCTAGCAATGACATTGTGTGGAGAGTGCTGGCTTTCAGAAAGTACACCATGTCTTCGATGAAAAGAACCTTGGCTGATCGGTATCAATCTTTTGGGGGAGACCATTATGGATGGATTCAAGCTCTCAAGTAAGCACTATGATATATATCCACCGACAAGCGACAATTCTTGAGATCGTCCCATTTCTCTAAACAGACAATAAGGCATCCGGTAGCCATGCGATTTCCATACGGAGCGTACCGCAAGTCACCCCTGAGGAATATATACCGCAGCAGCACCTTGGCATCGCTCTTGCTTAGGACTTGTGTATCCCTTACACTGCTGTTCAGCTCCTCAAAAACCTGAATCTGTCTTCGATGACCATGTACGCTTTCCAGGGCCATGAGGACAGCAGGGATTGCTTCTCAGCATTGTATTGTCCGAGAAGTAGCTTAACAGCCCCTAATTATGATCCACCGACACGGACACAAATGTTGAACTGGTGGTGGTGTTCAATATAAGTGCTGCAGCACGTTGCATGAAATACGACAAAGAGCACAATGTATTCCTTTGCAAGTCATGAGCGGGACATGGCATGATGTTAATGATCAGTTGTCGTAACAGCCCAAGCCAATAGTGGACGTCCTCTAGATTGTATATACCCCCCGAACTATCGATGACATCACAGACAGCGAAGACCAAGGCGCTTAATCTACGGTATCCGATGAGACATTTGTAACTTCGGCATACCGACGCACCTCGATTAGTGATGTATCTCGCTCTCGAGACTTGTATATAGTGGAGAGCAAGCGGTCATATCATCAATGACCTCCTGAATCTCAAGATATGATGTCTATTGAGTTCTTGTTTCAGCTCGTTCCTATCCCCCAGGTCGTAGGAAAAGCTTCAGTGTCGTCAAAAGCAGACAGAAGATTGGTTGCTTCCATGATGGCATAAAATCTCATCCGCATCCGCAACAACAGCAGCCCAGCCGAGTGCAATCGCAGCAGTGCCAGAGTAACCCGCAAGAGCTGCGTAGTAAAGGTATTTGCCAAAAATGTTCAGCAAGTCACCGAAACTTTACAGCAAGCTGAGCCGGAGATCTCCCTCGATTGTCCATGGCTTTCCACTCTGCGCAAGACAATACGCTGGGTTTCTCTTGTTAGCTTGCCAGTTGAGGAAGGAGAGGCAATGCCCCGAATGAGATGCCAGTAGTGATGGTCATAGTGCATTTCATTCCAGCAGGCCAGTTAGCCTCTGACTGTAGTCATCCGTGAGAAGAAAATATGGTTCCTCAACCAAAAACGATGCCTGAACACAGCGGCAGCCACAATGATATGAAATGGTCAGACGTGTCGTACTCGGCCTTGAGAACAGACTGGAAAGCCAATCAACACGTATAGCCTAGACCATAAACAGTTCCAGTACCAAGCCTGCGTCCTGAGGAAGGGGTGTTGCCCGTTTGCAGTTCTTTTCAATAAATTCTTCGAGGATACGATTTCCTCGAGCCAATCAATAGGGAAGACGATGGTTGTGTCGTTGTGAATTAGATATATAATATGTAGCTCGTGTCGTTGGTGCTGTTGAATCGAACATCCCATTCTCACAAACAAAATGACTGAGGACACTGGCGTCGTCGAATGCGAGCATCCACACATTATGTACCCAAATTGGGAAATCGAGACTGTTTTAGTCAGGTCTGGCGTGTAAGCTCTTTTCTTTCGCTGAGCGTAGCGTTGAGCGTTGATGTCCTGCCAGCCCGTTATATAAAATATATATTTTATGGCGTTGGTAGAGATCGGGACATCATGGTCATCATGCTCGGTAAATAGAGACCTCATGATTATTCTTTGCTTGTACAGCGCTGTCGTCGTACACATGACCAGCTCTTTCAGGATTAACACCTTGTCTTACGTGTGATGTGGTAAGATGAAAATATATTGCCTGCCATTCCCCAGCTCCACAACTGTCTTGTGAGAACAACAATTCTCCAGAACTGGATGGTGACCTTGATGTACTAATTCATCGTCACTGCAATATATATATTGATACGAGACCCATCATGGTTTGTCGCCTCAACCCTTCTTTCCATCCCCCTTGGCCTACATGGAATCTTCCCCGTCGTCCAAGACCATGATCACTCTACCACATTCACACATAGTAATTCAGCGGCAAGTCCAACGCAGTACACTGCTCCACCTCATTAAACGTAGTCTGATACGGAGGCCACTGCATTCTTCTCAAACTATAGTCCCCCTCTCGCAATGGTCGCCACGCACCACTTTCCTCCACAGCCCGGGTGGTATTCACATAGCCCCTAGCTCTCAACAGCTCCGGATCAGGATTCGGGCTACCAGTACAAACGAAACTGGCCCAGGAATCCAGTACATACTGCTCAAATGGCAACTCATACTCATCCCTGAATGGTTGATCCAGGCGCCGCAGATTTCCAAAGACATAGTACAGATCCCCGGAATGACACTTCCAGTACTCCAGATTCGGGTCACCGTTTGGATACTCTGCCGTCGGGGGAGCATAGCATACTCGACCGTTATAAACTTGACCCTCGAGCTCATAGGACCGGTTGAACTCATAGAAGTATACCTCAGGGAATATGTTGTTGACGACGCCTGCATAGCCTGTTGCTTCATCGATGCATCGAAACATACCGTCAGTTGCCACACGAGCCGAGGTGTTGAACACGTCCAGTGTGGCATTGGGGCCAGTGGCTAGAGGAAAAAGGCCGCTTGCAAGGACAGACGCGGGCAGGTCATTCTCAGTTAGAAAAGTGTCGATACTCTCGCTGGCATTTGGATAGCTGATAAACTGGGCGCCGTCATCGCGCATGATGCCCATCATAACAGGTACACGCGATGCTTCTGTGGAGCTGCTGAGATCAAGTTTAGGGCTGGTAAGATATGTCCCGTCAACGACGAGGTATCGCGCTGTGGTGGATAGCCCGGATATGGCACTGGTAGTATAGTTCCTGAGACAGTCCACAGGCGATGTCACAGAAGTACAGTTAGTTTCTTCCAGGATGGCGTTGGCAGCTATATCCATCTCCTCATCAATGGTATAGTACCGTGAGTAAGTGGTGCCATACGCAAGACCCCCGAGGTTGCTTTGCATGATAGCGCGACTGAACTTTCCCTTTGCTTTAGGTGATGCTAGCAATGCTCGCACGGAGGCTGCTCCGGCAGACTGACCGAAGATGGTGATTTGGTCGGGGTCACCTCCAAAGGCTTCGATGTTTTGGCGGACCCAATCGAGGGCAGCGACTTGGTCAGCGAGGCCGAAATTCCCGTTAGTTCTGCCGTCATTCAGTGCGAGAAAGCCAAGTGTTCCGAGTCGATAACTGATTCCGACCACCACAACATCGCCTCTAGAAGCAAGGTTTCCTCCGTCGTAGTAAGGGTCATCGGGGCTTCCGCCAGTAAAAGCGCCGCCATGGATCCAAAATGCTACTGGTCTCAATTTCGTCTTCTGTGCCGGCTGACGAGGAAGGTAAGGAGTCCAGATATTCAAAATGAGACAGTTCTCTTCATTACCCTTCGCATCGCGCTGACACACGGACCCATACTTCACAGCAGATATGTTGCCTCCACTGCCTGTATATCGTTCTGGATAGGTCCACCGTTCTTTCTCGGTAGCGAAGCGGACACCGATGAACCGGAATATAACATGATCGCGATACCTAACCTGTGAGCTAATGTTTGGTTCGCGAAAAGGAGAATCTTACCCTGTTAGGTATTCATTGTTTGCATGCACTGTAACTTGATACTGACTGCTTATGTTCTGGTAGTCTTCCGTCGAATAAGGAGCACTCTGAGTGCAAAGCACAGGGTAAAGATGGTTGCTCTCTGCCGTCGCAATAGTTCCTTTCAGATCAATTGTCCTACCAGTGCCGTTCACTGAGGATATCCAAAAACGCTGGTTGTTTTCGTAGTCGCCACGGTATTTAAGGTATTCAAGGTCAGCCTTGAGGTCCGCAGGTGTCGAGGGAGCACTGCCCCAGAGTGACTCCCCAAGCGCATTGCAGGCTTCGGTCGCTACCCTCAGATTCTTGTCATCCAGAATTATGACGCTTGAATTGGCCAGTGGACTATCTGCCTCTATTCAAGGGTTATACATCCTGCTGTTTTGCTATTTTGGCTCATACTCACCTAATAGATCATTATGCAGTAGAATAGAGATATCTGACCCCAGGGATTCAGGCCCCACCGCAGCAAGAATTGGAGTCACAAGAAAAGAAAAAAGAAATGCACGCATCTTGTTCATTATTGCTCGTATAGAAGCTGTAGAACTTCATCTTCTCCTCTTATGCTGCCAAGTATCAAACTCAATGGGATTGCTATCCCCGAGGTGACCGTGTTCAAGTTCAAGGAGCTTCATTGTATTGGTGGACTGAGTTTTTGCGCCTGACTGGACAGACCTTTCCCCGCACTGTAGTATGCAGCCCTTCTGGTCTGTCATGCATGACTCGGTTCAACAAAGTCCGAAACATGGGGAAGCTTGCTTTCATAGATATGGTGCATCGGGACTAACGCTTCACGGTGCGCTTTACGAGAAAGGATGCTGTACCCTGCCATGGTCAGGTCGGCTCACGTCGCCTTGTAACGTGATATATTGAGCTATGATTTACACTGCCTTAAACCGATGTTTAAGTATAATATCATAGCTGTATGATTTACTTCTATATATCGTAGGGCAAACCCCAACGGCCTGGACTACACGAGTTCCGTTCACAAGCCAGTTAAATCTGAGGTATTCGGTACGGGCAATAGGATCGATAGTTGTATTTGAAATCAAATTAGAAGCGCCTAGTGCTAACCTAGCTCTCAAGCATACGCTCCTTCACTATCTTCTCGGTAGAAACTTGTGTGGTCGTAATTTGCGTTCTACTGTGGTACAGCTTGACCACCCTGCGAAGATCCGAAAGGACCACAGCTTCCACAAAAATCAGTCCAAGTGTAGTCCCCATCTTCTGTACTGTTCTCTGACAGACTTCTCCATAGCCCTTATTCTAGCCCCTATTCAATCACACTGTTAGCATATTGATTGAATCCCACGGCGTCAGAGACTCACGCTCTCGAATCTTTTCAGGTGTGAGTTCTGGGGCAGGCTTCCAAACCGCCTTCAAGTTCTGGCCGGGAACAGGTTCCAAGAGAGCCACCACGATGACTTGAGGAGTCTTTATGGGAGTTTCTGTTCTCCGGACGTTCCTGTATCCAACGTACTCCACGTTCCTGATCTGCTTAGACTTCATGCACTGCAGTTGCTGCACGTCACCAAAGAAAGCTTTCGATATTGCCTTTCCGATGAATTCCCTGAAGAGCCGTGGTTGGTTTGGATTGTTGCTCACGGCACAAGACTCCATGATCGAGTTCAGTATCCCCAACGGAAGTCTTGCGATGAGGTTAGTTGGATGATGCTTTCAGCTGCTTGTGGAGTAAGGTCATAGCCTACTCACTTGACGATGATGTGGGTTACATCAGCTATCGAAAAATCACGGCATTGATCTTCGAGGATCAGGTCAAGTGCAGGCACTGGAGCAGTATTGGCATCAGCCGGTGGTGTTGATTCCATGATCCCTTAAGATAGCAAATCGCTAACAACTGAGATACGAGAGCAGAAGAGGTTGCGGGCTATGCCTGTAGATTGTGAGGAGTAAGGATCAGACTAGGGATGAAATAGTAAAAGAAAGCGATAGTGAATGTCAGATGGTATTTCTGGTAGGCGTGTAACTGACCGTACTGACAGGCTATCCCTAAAGAAGCCTTCTTGAAGAAATAACACCATCGCATTCACTGACCACTTGGTATTGATAAGATGAAAATCCCAGAATGGCCTCTGTAAGAATGTAAGTTTCTATACTGATTCTAGATTCACATAAGTAGTTGACTCTCGGATCTGGCTTGCTACAATCAAAGTCGCTCAACATTGCAGACAACAGTAGGGAATCTTCTCAGACAGTGACTATGAAGTATTAGCGTACCTGTCAAACAGACAATAACTGCAGATTCAGGCTCTGTATCAGGGCTGTGTAATTAAGCCTGTCAATCAGCACGGAAGATTTATTGCTCTTTGTCACAAGTGCACGGCTTCTCCCGGCTTAACATAGTTCTAGAAACGAAGTGAAGAATTCCATTAATATTGTATAAAATGGCCCTTCCAGACATTCTTTTACTCTGAACTTTTTCTTACTCGCTAACTTCTCTGAATAATTCTCTTCCCTACTGCGCTGTCGAACTCTCACCCTTCGCTACTACAATATCTGCCACTTGATTCTCCAACGAACCTACCAGCCAACAAACACTAGCACGATGTGCTCCTTTGCAGTACGCAGCCACCTTGGATGTAAACATTTAGCCCAGGCTGGTTTCACACGCTGTGAAACTGCACAACGAGAGGGTAGAGCCTGTCTTCGGAACACTTGGGACTATCAGCTCGCAGAACCTTGGCTAGGAAAATGTGATAATTGCCTGAAGCCAAAACTTGAGACTCGCATTAGCAGAAGAACGTAAGCCTGTTTCTTGTTCAGCCGAAGTGGTGTTATCGATACTGCAAGTGCGCCATGCTAACGAAGACTGAACTCAGCATTTCGTGATGATCAGCTTCATCAAAGGCTCAAGCTTCTTGGATGATATGATGAATGATATGATGGGATTTTCAAGGTCAAGGTTTTTCAATATTTAGGAAACACAAATATCATTTGCAGCAAACTTCTTGCTGCATTGTTCCTTGCTTCAACAAATTTATATCATTTGACGTAGTGTATTTAGCTGGTAAAGAGCAATTGTCTCTCTCTGCCATTAGCCTTGTAAAATATAATGTAGAGGTTCTTCACGGCCACAGCAGTCTGGCAAAGCTAATAGAATGTCCTGTCCCCCCTAACTTCGGCAAACGTATTGCATTAATCTGCAGACCCCGTTCCTTACGTTAGTGAGCAGTAGTCTAGTAGTCAGCTATAACCATCTTCTCCCTACTTATTTATTATTGCTCACTGCAGAACGCTTAACCCCTTCAGGCAAGAGCGCGACAGTCGGAGAAACAAACTCCCGTATTACCTCGCTTACCCGAAATAGCAACCCATCATACCCAAACCAGCTAGTGCAGGCGGTAAACCAGCCACCGCCCCGATATATTGCCCGACTTCCGCATTCGGCGCGTCAAGTCTGGTTCAGCTCAGCATCTCACGAGATCTCTTTCTCAATCTCGTACCCTTTTCACTTCTATTATAACCCCATTGACCCGTCCACCCACCACCTACGCAATTAACTAGTACGTCTTTCTCAAAATCCCTACCTATCCAGCCCAATTGACCCACTAACACCATCACAGCTCACACCCACACAGCAACAGCACAGCTTCACACCACCTTACCAACTGAATCCCTCCACAACAAAATGACCACCCGCCCGCTCAGCCCACCGACCTCCCCCCGCAAACGCACCAAAGCGATGCACCTCCCGTCATCGCAACGCATCTGCCACGATTGGATGGTGGTGCAAGGCAACGTGCACTACGCGCGCGACCGCGCACACTTCACAACCTACCGACCCGTGACCGCGCACCTCAAGAACAACATCTTCAACCCGATGGACGAGCTCGAAGTGGCCGGTATCGGAACCGTCGAGATCCCCGTCGTCCGCAGCCTCGATAACCCGTTCGATACGCATACCATTGTGCTCGAGAACGTACTGCATATCCCCGAGGCCGTGTGCAATGGGTTCAATCCGCTGCTGTTTGGGAGTAGTATGTCGTGTACGGAGACGGCGTGGATGGGGGCGGATCGCGAGGGTAGGTTGATGTGGGTGGCGATGCCGTTTCGGGGGGGTTCGAGGTTGGTGCTGGCTGGGGGGTTGGTTGGGGAGAGTGAGATTATTGAGGGGAGGTATTATACGTTGAGTTTGTATGTTAGTCCCGAGGAGAAGGGGGAGTTTTTGGCATGATTTGGTTTTTGATTTGTGTATTGTTTGGGTTGGAGTTTGGGGGCTGGGCTGGTTGGGTGAGTGTATGATAGCTGTATAGCTAGCTAGCTAGATGTTATTGTTATGTGTAATATGAGTCACGATAGACAGACAGACAAGAAAAACAGAAGCCAGCACTAAGCAATTGATGTAAAGTGTAATTACACGTGGAATCTAGCTCGGACCCTGCGTCTAAAAGGGTCTGGTCTGGGTCTACTAACAGGCTAGATCGAGTTGACCCGGTCTGTGCGGGTTGGGCTGCAGTGATGCCCGAGGCGAATCGATTCGGCCCTCGTTTCCAGTTTTCCATGTGGCGAGTGGAGAAATAACTCGCGCGATATGGTGGTCTGATTGATTCCAGACTGCAGCTATAGGCAAATTATCGAATGGCCTATTGGCAGATTCGTACGAGCTCTCGTATGGGTCATGCGCTGCGGAGTGCCTCGCTTAGGGTTGACTTTAATTTCTCTACCCCGGATCCCCATGCCTGCGGCACGTCGGGCCGTATTCCGTGGTATTTGAGAACGCTTACATGAACAGGATCAGAGGGTCATTAAAGTAGGTTAGCTTGGTTTAGATGAGTCAATTAGAGCTGGCTCGTAGTGGCTAAAGGTCTATCAAATCAAAGGTATCGACTAGTGCAGTAGTTAGCAGCCTCCCCCGCCAACAATTTGCCCTCCAACCATTCATCTTCCACCACAGGGCAAACCTACCCCGGATTCCCTATTCCCGTTTGGATACGGGGCTGCACCCTTGCTGCATCAGCCGATCCTATCACATCTCCTCGGCCATATTACCGTTGCATCCGATACATTCTACCTGGCCTCACCGGCTGCCTCGACTGAGTACTCACTAATTAGTATATATGTGAGGTGAGTTCCCCGTATTATTCCCACTTTCATCCCGATCATCAATATCTTATTCGATACCTCAACCAAGTGAGTGGATATGGCTGAGAAAACCACCACCAGCGTCTCTCACGTCGACGACTCCGACCACCCCAATGTCCAACTCAAGGGTGGGGTGGGCGACACGGCTCTGGCTGTGGCAACGAGTCTCCAGAAGCCGTCGCTATGGAGTAAGAGCATGCTCAAGGTATGCCCTCTTTTCCAGCGCTCTATCGTGTCCTAATATAGTGTGTCGATAGTTGTACTGCTGCATCGCCGTCGCTATGCTCAACTCCTGCATCAACGGCTACGACGGATCCCTGATGGGTTCCATCAACAGCTACGCCCAGTACCGAGACTACTTCGGCTTCGACCCGAACAACGGCACGCCGTCCACGGGTATCGTTTACGCCATCTATACTATCGGGAATATCGTCGGGTCCTTCGTGGCTGGCCCGGCTACTGACTTCAAGGGTATACCTCACCCCTTACCTGTCTACTATCCCATCAGAACCACACTAACACTTGAAAATTTAATAGGCCGTCGCGTCGGCATGGCTCTCGGCTCCTTCTTCATCATCCTCGGCACCATCGTACAGGCAACCTGCCACAATATCGGCGGGTTCATGGGCGGACGCTTCATCCTCGGTTTCGGCGTCGCCATTTCCGCCACAGCCGGACCGGCCTACGTATCGGAGATGGCGCATCCAGCGTACCGTGGCGCCATGACGGGTCTATACAATGTGTTGTGGTTCGGAGGCGGTATCCCGGGAACATTCATCCCGTGGAGGACGAGTCAGATCGAGGGAACGATGAGTTGGCGGATCCCGATCTGGTTGCAGATGGTGTTTTCGGGGTTGGTGTTGGTGTTTGTGCCTTTTGTTGCGGAGGTTTGTCCCCATACCCTTCCCACATCCTTGATCACACTTTGTTTGGCTTGAAGTGGGTATCGATGCTAATATATAACGGTATGATAGAGTCCCCGCTGGCTCATCTCCCAAGACAAGCACGACGCCGCACTGCAAGTCCTGGCCGACTACCACGGCGACGGAGACAGGAACGCCCCTATCGTGCAGCTCGAGTACCGCGAGATGATCGAGGATATTTCCCAGACGGGGTCTGACAAGCGGTGGTGGGATTACCGCGAGTTGTTCAATACCCGTGAAGTGCGGTATCGGTCCATGCTGGTTATCATTATGGGTATATCCACACCTTCCCAACCTCCAGAACAACCATACTGATAAGACGATAGCCCTCTTCGGCCAATGGACCGGCAACGGCCCCGTCAGCTACTACTACCCACAGATGCTCCGCGGTGCCGGAATCACGGACAACAACACGCAGCTGATGCTGCAAGGAGTGCAGAACGTCGTCTCATTCCTAGGCGCCGTATCAGGAGCACTCATCACGGACCGAATCGGCCGACGTACACAGCTTCTCGTGTCGACGAGTATCGTGGTGGTATTATTCGTGATAGTGACTGCATTGAACGCAACGAACGTGGTCGATGGAGCAGACGGCACGCCCATTGCCAAGAGCGCAGTTGCAGCGCGCGCACAGATCGCGATGATTTTTCTCTTCGGGTTTATCTATTCGGCTGGCTGGACGCCTAATCAGGCGATGTATCCGGTGGAGTGTTTGCGGTATGAGAGTCGGGCGAAGGGGATGGGGATGAACAACGTACGTTTTAATCCCTCTTTCTTCTTACATGAATATATATACGTGTGTG